GAAGGTCAAAATAAAAAATTTAAAAATATCATTTCTGACGTAAAATTTCCCGCTCTCTTCGAATCCGGTGTCAAAAGTAGGCGGTCCCATTTAAAAAAATTACTATGACCTCCAAATGACCTTAAAATTTGACCTCAAGATCAAATTCATTTATTGAGAAAAATGACCCCCATTGTCCTGAACAAGTTTTGTCTTAACTATTTTTCTATATCTGGTTTACCTATGGAGAAATTTGGGTGGGTCCCGTAAAATGGCCTACCGTGTATATAGACTCATTATACAAGATGTCTCACACTCTCCTCCGGGCATTTTGTGGAGACGTAGAACAGGTTGAGGTGAAAGTCCTATATCGTTTTGCGATATTTGCAATAATTATCGAGATATTAATTGTAGAAACTTGTAAATAATTATGCAGAATATGGTAAATGAGTTATAATAGTGACGGCAGTCGTCTTTTTTCTGCATGATCATTTACAAGTTTTCTACAATTAATATCTCGATAATTATTGCGAATATCGCAAAACGATATAGGACTTTTATGTTCACCTCAACCTGTTCTACGTCCCCACAAAATGCCCGGAGAAAAGTGTGAGGCACCCTGTATATAGATTCATATCTTATATAGACTCATTATCTTATATTGTCTTATATAAGCCCATATTATCCTTTTTCTTTTTATCTCTATTAACATTGAGCAACTTGCTACCGATTATTAAGATCTGGGAGTTGTGTAAAGACTACGAACAAATCGTTGAACAGAAGATTACGGAGAGTCCGTGAACCTACCTTCGAGCAATTTCCGCTCGGCTCAAACGAAATCCTCTACTATTTCATTCGTATCCACCGAAATACAACTGGAGATGAAATCGCAAGCTCTGCCAAATCTGAAAGAGAAAATAGTGTTTCCGATTAACTGTGGTATTTGAAAAATTCCCTTAATTTCGACTAATCAAAAATACGGAGATATTTGATATGGAATATAATTTGCACAAAGGAAACATCGTTCTCACCTTTGTACTTTCAAGAGTTCAGAACTAATGCTTGCAATGACTAACAAAACGGTCGCACGTGTGCGATTTATATTCTGAGCAGGATTTAATTTATTAATAGAGATCGGAAATAACGCACTCGATTTCTCCCACTGTGTTCATTCTCGCGTTTGAAACTATTATAACGGCTTGTTTGTGTATGTATTGTTCGAAAGGTCGCGCGACTTCTCGAACGCGCCAGAGTCAATCAAGCTATCGACAGGCGGATACCTTGTTTACATAGCGTTCGACTGAAATTTAAATGGAGGTCAATTTAATCAATATCTACGAATAGTTCTCGTTCCCGACTCTCGCCGTAAATCGACCCAGCAGCGATCCACGCCGAATTGTTTTCAACGACTGTCGCGCATTAATTAGGAGGACGTGGCTGAATTTATTTCCATTCTCATTAGCGGAATATTCGAATGAGAGAGATATGTGGGTAGTATCGAGGCGATTTCGTCAAATTCAGAAATCCGAAACAATATATCTAAGCCAGATTTGCGCGCTTACTTGCGCGAAATAATCTAAAAAGTCGTAAAAAGGATTACGTTTGAGATAAACTGATTTAGTAGCGCACGCCATCATCAATTCCGTACTATCTACTGAAAATCGTTATTCCGCTCGACATGTGTGCACGTGTGTATGCATGTATCATGCCGGGATGCCGGAGAAGCCCGATAAGCAGATGGAAATATTCTACGGTACGGAAAGGTTTACTAGTGAATTTGACGGTTTGCTGAAACCCTCTCACGTAGGAAATACCTGGGATTTCTGGAATGTATTACCGATTTTCTCTGATAAAAGAGAATGCACGCTGCACATATCCGCCGCTCATGCCGGAGAAAAAGACGGAAACTTCCCTGTCGGGCATGTCGTTGAAAGCCCGATACTTTAGATACGAACGTGAGAATCGAATTTAAAAGCTCGCTTTAAACGTGAGAAACGTTTCCAGATTTTATCGAGTGATTATAATACGCGATGCAAATATTACGTATTTGGATAGTAGATATTATATAACGATAACAATAGTTTGCAAAATTTAAGAAAGAATAATTTTAGCCCATCTATAAATTACTAAAAATATATTGTTAAAATATTATTTATTTATACACTTATCTTTTTCTCTTTCAAAAAGCAGAAATTAAAAATTGACATAACAAAATAATTCATCTCCCTGATGTTTAAGGCAGTTTTCGAGCAGTTGCTGAAGCAGTTATGTCAACTTTTGTCTAGCAACTAAAAATGAAACTACTTGAGATTTAAGATTCCAATTCAGATAACGTTTTTCCTGCAATTACTATATACAGGAGATGTCCGAAATCTGAACGAAATCTAGTTACTGAAAGAAAAACAGAACAGAAAATGGAGAAAAACTTATTCAACTGATTAACAATCAAGTATGGTATACATAAAACAGGTGGATTTGCTTAAGTAATTTTCATTTTTTGTAACATGTTTTCTAATTGAAAAATTTTAATGCTAATGAGAGTCATAGCGTAGGAAATCTTTAATGTACAGAAAAAAAGATGTGGTAGTATATAATTAGAAATATTCATGCAAGCAACACTTAGTTACTTTTGCATCACTTAATTACTTTTATGTAATGGTAATGTATATAGTTGATATTATTCAGTTACTTTGGTATTTCAACTATTTTAATGTAAAAAAATATGGTAGACTCTGAGACTAAAAATCAAAATAACATAGGACCTATAAGAGCATAGGAAGAAAGTATGCAAAAATTTTTATTAAGAATTGTCTGCAATATAAAGACAATTTATTATGTTGTAACTAAAACGTTTACATACAGTACAATACGTCATGGTTTAGTAATTTATGTCATAGGATTTAACATTGTCAAATACCTTATTTCCTCCAATTACGTTTACAATGCGTTTATGTACAATAAAAATGTTTGCATACTTCCTTCCTATGCTTGGATCTTATAGGCCCTATGTTATTTTGCACCAATGTAGTTGTACGTGATCTGATTGTGGCAACCAGAAATCAATTGAGGTGATATTTACCACAAATGCACTTTGGTTGGAGCAACCAGATATCGTCATTGTAACTCAGCAATTGCTCTGTGATTATAGCAACTATACAATTACTTGTTTTGTATTTTATTATTAACCTAGTTGGCACAATCAGATTTACATATAAGCTAATTATATTGTTTTCTCTGTGTGTGTAATATATATTTTCACGTTTCTCGCCTTTTATATGACAGTGTTCAAAACTATCAAATGACGTACGTCCTTTTATTCATTCTTTTAATTGTACTATTTCATCAAATTCTGTGTATGAACTATCATGACATTCATTTGCATTATTATCCTTAAAATAGCTTGATGTGAAATTCCTCTGTTCAGAAAACAAGAACAAACTATGATGATTTCTGATTGGTCCGCATCCTGCCCGTCATTATTACGAATGACGTGAATGGAAGTAAGAGAAAAACTGTAGTAGAGAAGTGAGAAAGAAGTCCTAAGACTTCTGAATGACAAAGCAACTCCTCTTTCATTCACTCATTCATTTTTTCCCTACAAATGACGGACAGTGTCTTAACTCTGACTTGAAGAACTCTAGTCTAACGTGTTCTCGTCGCACACAATGAAGTTCTATATCGTTAACATATCCTATTTGTCTTTTACTGACTTTCATTTCCAATCTTGGTTGTCATCTCTATCACAGGACTTAATATTGTCAAATCCCTTATTTCCTTCAATTCTTCTCTGTGCTTTTCTACATGTTCATTCATAGTTCACGTAATTTCAAGCTCTTTTTTAACGATGTAAATAATAATAAAATATATAATATAAATTTATAAATTTTATTTATATATATATTTATTTATTTATTTATAAATTTATAAATTTATAAATTCATAATAATAATAATACTTTAAATTTATTCACGATAGACATTATAATACATGCACAGTATAAAACTAAATTAATATCACTGATACTACATCTTGGGAAGAATCAGTTTATATATACAGTGAACTGCTCCAATTACTGAATGAAACTCTTGTCAAATTTCTACACAGTATTTTTACAACTAATGAGAACACATTATAAACATCAGACAATAACTGGGCGGACGTCTATGCAAATTTCTATCAGGGCTGTGCTATGAAAAGAGGACTTGACGCGAAACATTCTGTACGTCTAACGACTATCTATTAGAAACAGGTGCACGAGATTCGGCAATTTCGGGCGGCGGTAAGACGCCAAGCAAGGAGGAACGAAGGAAAGGAAGGAGGAAAGGTCGAGTGGTTCGTCGACTTCGACAGTTAATCCGGCGCCTAATATCCAGGGGAGAAGCGGGCAGCTCCACAGCCCTTTTCGGTGCACGGTGGCGCAGAGAGAAGCCATCCTTTCAATCTCCCTCGATTGGATACATCTCGAGCAGGGCTGGAGAGAAAAGGAGAGTTAATTGGTCCGGTATTGACGGACGTATCGGACGTAATCCAGACGAGGTCTTGCCAACTCCACGACGACGTCGCACCAAGAACATCACGACGTCGTCGCTCCAGGGATCCGATTCTATTTCTGCCGAGACGACGTCGCTCCTGTTTTCATGAAGGAGCGAAGCGAGATCGACAAGCACCACTCGCTTATTACTTCCACACAGTTACCGTAATCGACGGTAATTAACTCGTCACGTTGTTGGAACTGCGTAACTCGCCGCGTTTCACGTCTCGTTCGCCGTTGCCGCGCTTCGCGATGGTAATCGGACCAAGGAAGCACGAATTACGGAGAAGACTACACTCGCTCGTTGAATAATCAAACAAGAGCGCATTGCATCGGTTCCACGAAATTTCCGACAACTTCGGCCTCGCGTTTTCCCACGTACACCACCTCAGCAAACGCGGACGACAATTTTACGCCGTGAGTCCGGACCTTCGACCGCGAGGAACAATAAAATCCATGTATTATTATCATTCCTTTATTTTATTCGAAC